GTGATGCAGGACTTCTGAGGTTAGGTTGTAAGAACACTTGGAGCTTCCAGCACAACCTTTGGGAATGTTGGCGCTGGAAGAAGTCAACTGCTGTGTAAGAAGTTCAGCCACCTGGAGATCAATGTGCTGTGAGGAAGCCTGAGCCATTCACGTGGAGGGGTGAGGAGGGAAAGGGAGAGAGAAACTCAGCCAGCCCCCAGCTATTCCAGCTCACCAATCTACCAGACAAAAGTGCCAAAACAATGGAATGGTTAAAGGAAAGTCTTTACATTGTGCAGAGACAATTGAATATCCACATGTAAAACACACACTTAGGTCCTTACTTCATACTATACACAGGAGAATGAAAACACAGCTCCCTAACTGAAATATCATATGTGCAAATCACATACCTGAAAGAAAATCTGTGTCCAGCATATATAAAGAATGCTTAATGCTAACTACACAAAGCAAATAACCCAGTAAGCAAATGGGCAATATTTGCAGAGACATTTTCTCATGGCAAATAAGTACATGAAAAGATGCTCATCATCATTAGTTATTAGGGAAATGCAAATTAAAAAGACATTGAGAAACCAGTGCAGTACCTTTTAGAATGACTAAATTAACACAACAAAGAGAGAACACCAAGTGATGGAGATGAACATACCATCCTCACAATTATCACTGTTTTAGCACATTGCCTGTGTTATTATTTATGTACCATTTAAAAAATAATTCAGATCTAATATTAATGTCTGTTTCACTATTACCTGGGAAATAATACCCCTGAAACCATAGATTCGATGTGCTGGTGTGGGTTTTTAAAAATGTCCATACATTTTTGACACACTTCCTTTTAAAAAGTATAGGCTAATTTCTCTACCCTTGCATGTAGTCTGGAGTCACCAAACAGAATACAGTAACTTCTTCCTTGTTCTCTCTTTAGAGCACAAACCCTGGAAAAACCTAGCTGGCATAACAGGAGAGCAACCAAGTAACTCCACCGAGCACACGTGAGACCTCCTCTCGAGGGTCACTTGAGTAAGTCATCTTGCAAGAAGAAGAGTCCCAGTGAAGACGTCAGATGACTGCAGCTTCCGTCAACGTCTGAACTGCAAGCTTATGAAATCTTGAGCTAGATCTGTGCTGCTAAGCTCCTCCCAAATTCCTGACCAGGATAAATTATAAGATAATAAATGTTGGTTGTTTATCTACTAAGTTTTGCAGTAATCTTTTATATAATAATAGATCATTGTTGTTGTCAGTTTGGGCTGCCATGGTCAGACTGGGTAACTTAAATGACAAACATTTATTTGTCACAGCTCTGAAGGCTGGAGAGTCCAAGGTCACGGCACCAGCAGAGGTGGGGTCTGGGAAGGGCCAGGCCCTGGTTCACAGAAGGCTGTGTTCTCCCTGTGTCCTCATCACATGACAGAGAGAGGGTGAGAACAAGAGCCTGCACACATGCTCTGGGCTCTTCCTTCCCCTGCAAGAGCACTGACACCACCATGAGGGCTTCACCCCTATGACCTGAACCAAACTAATTACCTCCCAAAGCCCTGTCTCCAAATACCATCACACCAGGGACTAGGCTTCAGCATATGAAGGGGGAGGGGCACAGACATTCAGTCCATAATAATATGGTTACATATTTCTCCAGTAGACATGATAGAGTATAACCAAATGGCCTTTTCCAATAGGGGTTATTGAATTAAGCAGAAAATTATTTGAGTGACTACTTTCTTGAAGTCACTAGGATGTACGCTGTGTGCCCAAGGATGTATGTAGCTAGAACTGTATACTCTAAGTGCATAGGTAAGAAGGTAATTCATTATGCACAACAGATGTTCTAGAAGAACACCGGGGTTTGATGCTCTCAGTGAACAACAAAAGACCTTGAGAGAGGGCCATTGCATGAACACTAGAACTAGACTGTACTATAGTCCCCCCTTATTTGAGGTTTTGTTCCTGTCTAAAAATAGTACATGAAAAAATCCAGAAATAAACAATTCATAAGTTTTGAACAGCACACTGTTCTGAGGAGCATGATGAAATCCTGCCTTCTCCCACTCTATCTGACCAGAACGTGAATCATCCCTTCGTCCAGCGAATCCGTGCTGGGATGCTCCCCGTGTTAGTGCCGGAACAGCCGTCTCGGTTACTGGGCCAGCTGTTGTGGTATCACAGTGCTTCTGTTCAAATCACCCTCATTGTATTTACTAAGGGTCCCAGGGTTTAAGAGTAGTGACACTGATTTGGATATGCCAAAGAAAAGCCATAAAGTGCCTGTTACTTCAGTACCATCAGAAGGCCAGTAGGGGCCTACCACTGTGTCGCAATGCCTTTGTCATTCACCTCACTTCATCTCCTCCCACAGGCATTCTATCATCTGGCACTGTCACAGGAAGGGTGAATGCTGTGCAATAAGACATTTGGAGATCAAGGGAGAGACAACTTTTATGTAATAATATGCATTATAATATGCATATTGTTATTGCATTAGTGTATTGTTATCATTGTTCTGTTTTATTGTTGTTATTGTTAATCTCTTACTGTACCTAATTTATAAATGAATCTTTACCATAGGCAGATATGTATAGAAAAACACGGCATATATAGGTTTGGTATTATTGGTTTCAGGCATCCAGTGGGGTCTTGGAATGTATCTCCCACCTGTAAATGAGGCCTACTGTATAGGTTCAGGTCCAGGCTTTCTTTCTCTGTAACCTCCTGAATAGCCAGGGACAGATCACTTGATTTCTCTGTGCCTTAGTTTCCTCATTTGCAACAGGGGACAATAATATTACTTATTCTCTTCCTTGAGTTATGAGGATTAAATGAGTTCATATCTATGTACAAGATCAACACATAGTAAATGTGATTTAAATGTAAGTCATTATTTTTGTAAACACTTAAGTATTAAAATGGTAAATATTTGTTAATGTGTCACCTAAAAATTATCTTGCATTACATTAGTGGTATATACTGCCCACTAACCCAGGTGATAAATGACTCCCTTCCCCCCACTGCTAGTCCTCTTGCCTGAGGTTCTTCAAAATGCTGCATTAAATCTTCCAAGCTGCTAGAATCAATTCAATAAGAAAGTGCTTCTGCTCGGGAAACCCCAGGAACTGCCATCCCCAGCCTGCACAGATGAACAGGGAGAATTATGGGTTTGCAGCACACAGTGAGGAAGGAGGAATATAAGAGAGCCCAGGTTTAGAATTTTCACTGACCCCAAATGAGCTCTGAGCCACAGAAGGAGCAGAAATTGTCTGCCTCTTTCTTTCATTTCTCCTGAGCACTGATTTTAAACTTGAAATTAAATAGAAGTTAAACTCCAAACAGAATTGACCTTCTAAACTTCAAGTGCATACATAGCATGGGTTCAATATAAGCTTGAAAGAGATACTGGCACGTAACTCTGAGTTACTGACAGCCTGGCTCCTGGAGAGCAGTTTATATACAGGGAGAGCCTGACCCAGGGTCTTAATGTAATAACTATCATAGATTAAATGTACCTACTTATCTGTAATGTAAGAATAATCCTGTGATTTAGCTGCTGATAATACTTGTTTGGTGGATGAGAGCCATGTTACAACTGTGTTTGAAAAGAATTTTAAACTAACCCTACTGTGGGCAGGGCCCTTGGTGGGCACTTGAGTGCTAGTTTGAAGGAAAAAAATGTGTGTAAGAAGCATGTGATGTTTTTGCAGTGGTTTGAGGGCTGGGTTTGGTAATTATACTCTCCAATGCAAAAACCCAATGTGGCATAATGAAAAACACACCTCTGTTCTGCTTCCAAAGCGAATTCCAAATGCAGGACGGCCTTTGCCCAGGCTGCCTGTGTTCCATGGAGTGTGCCCGCGCTCCACTTCTGTGTCTGTGAGAGCGCCCGGATGAAAATAAGAGACGTAAAAATGGGCCGCCTCCTCCCTTTTGTTCCTGTGAAGTCTGTGCCTCTAAGCTACCCCTCCTCATCACCCTGATTGCTCAGTCGACCTATTTGAAAACACACACAAAACCAGTCTTAACAGAAGGAAAAGTAGTGGTGTGGGTAGCAAATCAACTGTGTAGTTCAAATCCTTATCACAATAAAATATTGTTCATTAAGTACCCTGCAGAGTTATAAAAAGGATGGTTTGTGTCAGGTAGGAATAAAAAGACAGCAAGGAATTGCAGAGTTTAGTGCAAAAGTACTTTCTTGCTACAAGATTGGTATCGAAGCCCTCTCTACAACATTGAATATTTGACTACAGGAACTCAGAACAACCAAAAATAGACTCATGGATTTTGAACCACATATTATGAATATTCATAACATCTGTCTTCCCTTTATCTAATAGCATTTGCTAATCAAAAGGGGAGATATGTTCAGTCTTTCTGTGTGAGAATCAGTGGATATAAAAATATCAGGTACTCCCCTGGGCGGCCTACATGGAGGACGTACATTATTCACCGTTTACATATTTTTGAGGGGCTTAGCAACTAGGTTATGGGGTGCTATTCTTGTTATATTCTCTTGAGGGTTACTTAGTGGAGAAATTCCTCTCAGAAGTCAGTTTCTGGAATGACTGTAATCTTTATGAACAACTTTCATAAAAAGGTTTTACTCCTTTTGCTTTTGTTGCTAGGCAGCTCAGTATTTCACAATTTGTACTGAACTTTCAGATACCATTTTGTGTAATAATGTTATCCCTGGTTTTTCATCTTATTCATCCAACTTTAATTTTCCCTTTTCCACAATTTCTTTACCTATACTTTTTATCTTACACTATGGTTTGGGATATATATTTTGGATTTAAATTTCTAAATAAAGTATCTAAAAAAAGGTTACTATTTTTTTCACCAGTTATGTTGACCAGAGAAGAACCATTGCTTTCTTTACCATGTGACACATTTTAGAAGATATTAGCCCAGTGGTCCTGGATATATTTTGGTTTATTTTTTCTTTTTTGTCATAACAATTGTTGCCATTTATTGAATTCTTACTGTGGTCCAGGTACTTTTTTATTTCCAAAAATATGGAATGCTTCATGAATTTACACGTCACCCTTGCATGTGGCCATGCTAATCTTTTCTGCATCATTCCAATTTTAGTGTATATGCTGCATAAGTAAGCACTATTTTAGTTTATTTTAAATGTTCCCAGCAGGTTCTAACATCAAACATCATTTGGTTGGTTACTTTCTCCCTTGGTATGCCTAGTTAGAATTAATGTTCCTTTTGACCCCACTTTCCCTCTCCCATACTTCTACCTCTTAACTATCATATACTTAGATTTTTGTGCTCTTCTTGAGCATTGTCTCAAAACCAAAATCATACAAAGACAGACATAAGGCCCAAACCAAACAGCAAACAAACAAACTACCCTATCTCCACCAGAAGCACCATAAAAACCAATTTAAAAAACCAATAATAAAATGAGAAAAATGGCTGCAATATATGACCACAGGTAAATTTTGCTAATATATGAATTTGTTAAGAGGAAAAAAGAAACCAAGAGTACTGGAAAAATTAATTAAAGGCATGAATAAGAAGTTGACTATAAAGAATATGAATGAACAAGTAATGTATTAAAAAGTTGAAACTTACTAATTATTTAAAAATGTAAATTAAGACTATATTGATATTAACTCCTCATTGGACCTATTGTTTGCAAATATCTTCTCCTATTTGGTTGACTTTTTGTTTTGTTGACGGTTTCTTTTGCTGTGCAGAAGCTTTTTAGTTTGAAATAGTCCTATTCATTTATTTTTGCCTTTACTTCCCTTGCCTTTGGGGTCAAATTCATAAAATCTTCTCTAAGACTGAGAACATAAGCACCTATGTTTAGCACTTATGTTTTCTTGTATATAATTTGTTTCAGATCTTTTATTTAAGTCTTTGATCCATTTTGAATTAATTTTTGTACATGGAGACAAACTGTAGTCTAGTTTTATTCTTTTGCATGTGGCTCTCTGGTTTTCCCAGCATCATTTATTGAAGAGACTTTCTTTTCTCCATTGTATGTTTTTGGTTTCTTTGTCAAAATTACTTGCCCATATACATGTGGTTTTATTTTGGGGCTCTCAGTTCTGTTCCATTGGTCTGCATGTCTGTTTTTCTGCCAATACCATGCTGTTTTGATTATCATAGCTCTGTAGTATAATTTGAAGTCAGGTAGTGTGATACCTCTAGCTTCATCCTTTTTTTTTCTCTCTCATGGTTGTTTTGGCTATTCAGGGTCTTTTGTGGTTCCATATAAATTTGATGATTTTTTCTTAAATGTCATTGGGATTTTGATGGGGATTGCATTAAATCTGTATATTGCTTTCAATAAGATGGATATTTTAACCACGTTGATTCTTCCAATCATGAACACAGAATATCTTTCCATTTCGTTGTGTCTTTTTCAATCTCTTTTAATAATGCTCTGTTGTTTTCAGTACATAGGTCCTTCACATCCTTTGTTGAGTTTATTCCTAGAAAGTTTATTCTTTTTGTTTCAATTGCAAAAGGAATTGTTTTTTTCCTTTCCTTTTCTGCAAATTTCATTGTTAGTATATAGGAATATCTACTAGCCGTGGATTTTATACCTTGATTTTGTATTCTGTAAATTTACCGTATCTGTTTATTGTTTCAAATAGTTTTTTGGTGGGGTCTTTATGGATTTCTACATAAAGAATCATGTCATCTGTTAAAAGTGGCACTTTTACTGTTAATATCCAAAAATATCTAAAAAAACTCATACAACTCAACACCAAACAAACAAGTGACCCAATTAAAGAATAGGCAGAAAACCTCAACAGACATTTCTTCCAAGAAGATATACAAATGGCCAACAGATATATAAAAAAATACTCAACTCCTCTAGCTATTAGGGAAATGCAAATCAAAAGTATAATGAGATACCACCTCATAGCTGTTTATATGGCTATTATCAACAAGACAAGTAATAAGTGTTGAAGAGATTGTAGAGAAAAAAAACCTCATTCACTGCTGATGGGAATATAAACTGATGTAGTCACTATGGAAAAACATATAGAGGTTTCTCAGAAAAATAAGAATAGAGTGTCCATGTGACCAGCAATTCCGCTTCTGGGTATCTACCCCCAAAATTTGAAAACATTTATTTGCAAAGATATGTGCACCACTATGTTCACTGCAGCATTATTACTAGTGGCCAAGACATGGAAACAACCAAAATATCCCTCAATAGATGACTGGATGAAGAAGATGTGATACATATATACAGTGGAATAATACTTAGCCATAAAAAATGAAATATTACCACTTATACCAACATGGATAAACTTTGAGAATATGATATTAAGTGAAATAACTCAGTCAGAAAAAGCTTAGAGCCATATGATTTCACTCATATGTGGGATATAAAACTGAAACTCATAGACACAGACAACAGTATGGTGGTTTCCAGAGGGAAGGGGGTGGAGGGGTGGTGAAGGTTAAAGGGGGCCAAACATGTGGTGGTGGTGGGCACACATGCAATATACAGATCATGTATCACAGAAATGGGCACTTGAAAACTGCATAATCTTATTAACTAACATCACCCCAGTAAATTTAATAAAATAAAAAAAGACCATACTGAGAGTTTTTTGTTTATCAGATTGGGAGGGAAAAAATTATAAAACCTGATGGGAACGTGATTACATTTTCCTGGAAAAAAACTTATGCTAAAGATGAAAAGCCTGTAACGCATTTTTAACTAACTCTCACACAGATCCGTAAGGAGACCGGTGCAGTTTGCAGTAGCGAGGAGCAGGAGACAACCCACACGTTCACCATCAGGGTGATGAGTAAGTGAAGCGCGTGCACACAGTGCAACACAGGCACCAATGATAACAAATTAGTTATATTTTCATGTAGCATGGATATACCTCAAAATCAAAGTATTTAAGGCTAATATATAAGAAACAAAATGAGTACAATTAGTACAGTGTTATCTGTATACATTAATATATATACACACACATACACACAATATGTATTTGTCTATATATTAAAAGCATATGTAGACACTACCACTATGACCTTTTTAAGGATATACATATTTCTACACAGAAGAATGAACACTGAATTAAAAGGATATATAGTAAATACATGAGGATCGGTACCTGGGAGGGAAAAAGATGGAGGACAAAGAGAATAAAGGTAACATAAGTGCAATACAAAAGAGGTCAGGCCTGGACCGGCGGGCCATGAACTGAAGTGTATGAGAAACTCGGCTTTGGGCAGTTGAGGTGTCTGTCTGTGGAACTGGAAATTGTACTTAGGCTAGAATTTATTCCAAGGCAATAATTAGTCTCTGTTGACCTTCTACCTTTTAAAAAACATAAGTAAAACATATTTCACAACAAAAAACCATCAATGTAAAGCCTGATTACTTTTCACACAGTGAGCCCATGCATGTAATCACCTCCCAGATGGAAAAACAGAACATTTTCCAGGCCTGGCCAGGTGGGTGCTCAGTTGGTTAGAGCGTTGTCCCAATATGCCACGCTTGCAGGTTTGACCCTTGGTCAGGGCACATAAAGGCACATACAAGAATCAACCAATGAATGCATGAATAAGTGGAACAACAAATATCCTCTCTCTCTTTCTCTCTCTTGAATCAACAAATAAAAATTTTTTAAGAAAGAACAGTTTCACTCCTAGAAGCCCTTAGAGTCTCTACCAGCCCATCACTGGGTTTTATCAATGGCAACAACTGTTCTCATTTCCCTCAGATTAGCTTTATCTGTGCTGGCCTTCCTATAAATGAAATTATGCAGTACATACTCTTTTGTGTCTGCTTCTTTCATACTCTAGTACACTTATGAGATTAACCCATTTTTTAAAGAGACAGTATAATGTTTTAATGTCTAAACATCACAGTATATTTATTCTAATATTGGAATACTAGAATATTTATTCTAGTATTCTTGTATACTAATATAAGGAGAGAACCTTAGGTTGCTCTCAGTTTTTTGTTATAATGGATAAGGCTGATATGAACACTCCTGTCAAAGTCTTTTTGGACAGATGCATTTGAGTGCCAAGGAGAGGGATAGCTGGGTCATCAGATTTGTATAGGATGAGATTTAGAAGATGCTGCCAGCCAATTTTTAGTTCCATCAGTAGTGTTTGAGAGTTCGCTTGTTCCATATCATCACCAACATTTGAGAACTGCTAATTTAGCCATTCTGGTGGGTGTCTTATTCTCATTTTTTTTAAAAATCAATTTCTGTATTTCATATAATTTTTTATCCAGGTTATATTTCACTAACATTTCTTTCATTCTTTTAGTCACAAGTTCTAGTGCCATCCCATTGTACCTACTAGTGAACCAAGTGTGGATCAATGGTTCTGCCTTCTTTGCCTTCCACGTCTCCTACTGTTTATTGCTGCACGGAATTATGCCACAGTCCAGATCAGTACCTTTATGTACTGAGGGCTAAACTTAAACTGGGCTTTCTTTTCAGCACCATTACTACTCTCCTAGTCCAGACCATCTTCATCTCTAATGCATTGCTGCAAGAGCCACGTGAGTCCCTAGTCTCCTGGATCTTCTTTAATCTTTTTTTTCTAGAGGTTTCTTTTCAAAACACAAAGCTGATCACCTAATTTCCCGAATTACTCTTCAGTGGCTCTTACTCAGCATTTATTTCGGATCTCATCGTTGACACTTCCTACGCTGCCTTCCCTACATACCCTTGCCATTCTTGCTCAGTGTTTCTTAAAAATTTTTTGACTTGGTCCACACACATAATGAAACAAAAGTGTTTTTTTAAAACAAAATTTATCCTTTCCACAGTGATGCACTCTGATTATTTTCCATTCCGTTTTATTCTACTTCATTGTACATGAAATACTGGCCATGACCCATGAAACTGGTTTGGTAACTGACAAATGGATTGCAACTTGCACTTTATAAAACACGTTAGCTCTGTTGTAGAAATCCCTCCCTTTCTCCTCTCTAGGAACCTTCTGCCACATATTTCTACCAGCTGTTGCTCATCTTCCAGGGCTCCACTCCAGGAAGCCTTTTTTTTTTGTGCTCCAGTTATGTACTCACTCTGTAATAGAATTGTCTCTCTACTTCTTATATTTTCCAGTGCACTGTAAAGTCCATGAACCCA